TATTGTAACAACTTTGTATGGTGAAAGCTGGTAGCTAGAATTATCATGTATATAAATGTTGAAACACTGTGTTGTACACCTGAAACTAATGTAATACTGTGTCAACTACCCTTCAATAAAAAAAAGCAAAATTTAGAAGTGAAATTAAAAAATAATAAACTGGAAAGCAAATTGTAAAATGTTTCTCAAATAAAAACAATGATCAAAACATTAGATAACTGTAAAAATGACAGAAGAAAAGTACTCATATAATAAATTCAAACGGGGATGTATTTGTAACAATTTAATGCAATACCAAACTAAATCCATTGACAAAGAAGAGCAGTGGGGGAAGACTTGCTCTACCAGATGGCATGGCTTTACATAAAGCTCTAAATAGTTAAGTGCTATAGGGCTAGGGGTGGAATAGGTTAATAAATTAGTGAAACAGAAAAGAAAGCTCATGAAAAAACACTATTGATATTTGTTCATTGACAGGTGGTACTGTCCTCACAGAATAGTGGGGAAAGAATCGTAACCTTAAGGATCAAACAAAAAATCAGATTCAGGTGGCTTAATGCCCTGATTATCAAGCAAACCTAGAAATATTCTATATGATGATAAGGAGAATATGTTCATGACCCTGCTTAGGGAAGGAATTAATAAAATATAAAAAGCATTAACCATGGGAAAGATGAAGGGAATGTATTCCTTCTTGCTGTACCACTAAGTACAGCTTAAAATGTACAGATATATATATATATAAATCTGTAATTAATGTATGGACAATGTAAATATATAATACAATGTATATGTATCTTAATATGTGCCAAACATAAAATTCTGAAAGATTCAAAGAACAGTGAAGATGAATTAGGGACACTGGCCCCTGTGTGTCATACAGGATGTGGTATACAGGGTGGTTAGTGTTAGCAGAAGGCTGGTAGGGAGCCTGATCTCTCACCCCTGCCCAGAGTTAATGTGGCAGTCTACTCCAGCTCCCAAGGGTGTCAGAGGAGGCATAGGGAACCTGGGCTTCTGTCCTCACTAGGCAGAAGGAAGGCTCTACCCTGTTTCTTCTGTTTGCATGGATTCAGAAGTGGCCAGTTAACACTGAACATTAGTTTTGGTAAGGTCCAATTCATTGATTTTCTCTTGAGGATCATGCTCTGATGTGCTGTAGAGGATCATCAAAACTGAAATTAACATAGGTTTATTTCTGTTTTCTCCTAGAAAATTCCAAATTGCACATTTACACATTGTGGTCCACTTGTTAATAATTTTTATAGCAAGTGTGAGGTATGTGTCAAGTTTAAATTTTTAAAAAGTGGAGTCAAGTTATTCTACCACCATTTATTAAAAATATTATTTATTGAGTCGCATTTGCATCATTCTTAGAAAATGAATGTGTTTTTGTATATGGCTATGTATGTATATGTGTATAAATGTATATACATGTGTATATTTTTGTATGTATGTGCTATATATCTAAGACTATTCTGTGGCATCTATATACATATCTGTGTTTATGGTGATACCACATTAACTTTATTACTGTAATATATTTATTAAGCCTTGAGATCTGGTAGTGTGTGGGTCCACTGACTTTATGTTGAAATGAATTTTAAAATGAGCTTTTTGGTATTTACAAAGAAGTATGCTGGCTTTTCACGTGGAAGTGGATTGAATCTTCTAATCCATAAAGAGCATACACCTGTCCATTTATTTAGAATTTCTTTGATTTCTTTCATTAGCAGTTTTTAGCATACCAGTTTTTTTGTTTTTTCAATGCTAAGATAAATTGTTTATCTGATTCCAAATTTCCATTGATCGTTATATATGATTTGTATATTGCCTTTGTATTTTGCCCTTGCTGAAAACACTAGTTCAGGGAGCTTTTCTGACCTTTTCTGTGATTTTCTGTGTAGGCTTACTCTGGATCTTTCATTTTTATTCTTGGTTTACCGCACTGGTTGGAACTTCCAGTACAGTTTTGAGTAGAAGTGCTCAGAGTAGACACCCTTGTCTTTTTTTTTTATATTGTTAATGTACAGTTACTTGAACATTATGGTTACTAGACTCCCCCTATCATCAAGTCCCCCACACATACCCCATTACAGTCACTGTCCATCAGCGTAGTAAGATGCTACAGAATCATTACTTGTCTTTTCTGTATATACTGCCTTTCCCATAGACATCCTTGTCTTTTTCCAGTTTTAGAGTTAAACTAGTCAGTCTCTCATTCTTAAGTATGATGTTAGCTGTAGACTTCTTGTAGATTCCCTTTATTAGGTTAATGAATGGTTTGCAAATTTTGTGAAATATTTTTTATCTTAATATGATTGTGTGGTTTTAATTCTTTAGATTACTATATCATGGATTACATTGATTGGCTTTTGAATATTGCAATAGCTTGCATTCTTGAGATGAATCTCCACCCTAGTTTATCATTTATTTTTATATAATGCTGTGTTCTTTTTGCTGCTAAATTTTTGAGGAGTTTCACATCTAAGGAAGCCTATTGGTCTATAAATTTCTTGTACTTTCTGGAAGAGATTATGTAAAATTGGTAACATTTCTTCTTTATGTGTGTGGTACCATTCACTAGTTAATACTGTCTTGTCCTGGAGCTAATTTTGGAGCTACATATTCTTTGAGCACATGTTCAATTTCTTAAGTAGGTGCTGATCTGTTTGGGTTATGTCTTCCTTCTTGAGTAAAATCTTGAGTGAGTTTGGTAGTTTTTGTTCCCCCCTCCCCCAGGAAATGTGTCCATTTCATGTAAATTGTCAAATTTATGAGTATTAAATTTCTTCTAATACTCTCTTATTATCTCTTTACTGTTTGTCATGTAAGTATATATGTTGTGGGATTAATATAGAAATCAAGTATAGAAATTAAATTATAATCATACATGACTTGATTATTTTTCCTGTAATTCCTGATACGTGATCAAGAACAGAACAAACAAGACCAAAACAGTTTCTGTGACCTAATTGCCCTTGCTATTGTTTCAATACCTTGTAAGACGTTGCACCCCAGGAGACTGGAGACTGCCAAGGATTAAGTTTAGAGTTAGTTAGTGATTGTGTATTAAGTCCCCCATGCAGAATTCTATTGTTGTTAACATTTATTTGCTCAATAAATACAAAAGGTGCCCTCTCAGCACAACTCTTGCACTGTTAAGCCTCGAGTCCCCTGGCTGGCCCTTTCAGGTCTTTGACATCTCATCATGTCTCCTTCCTTATCTCCAGGTCAGAAGCAGGGAGGGACCGACAATATGTCCCCTCCCAGATTTCTTTCTGATAATGATAATGTGTGTCTTCTCTTTTTTCCTCTGTAGGTTTTAAACATTTTTAAAAAACCGTGCAGAGGATTAAGCTTTGGTTTGATTGATTTTTCTCTGTTGTTTTCCATTTTCAATTTCATTGGGGGTTTTTTGCTATTTTTTTATAGTGGCATATTTTTTATTGGAATAAAATTGATATACAATATTAAGTTGGTTTCAGATATACAACATAGTGACTTAATAATTATGTTCATTATTAGATGCTTGCCCCAATCAGTGTAGTTAAGTATTATTTTCTCCATTTTGCTTTCTTTAGATTTAACTCCTTTGGATTCTTAAAGTAGAAGTTAGGCATCTGGAGGTCTTTCTTTTTTAATATAAAATTCCTAAGCTATAAACTTATTTCTGAGTACTGATTTAGCATCATCTCATCAGTTTCTGTATGTTTTAAACAGTTTTTGTTTTCTCAAAATATCTTAATTTTCTGTTGGGTTTCCTCTTTGATGGGTTACTTAGGAGTATATTAATTTGCAAATATTTTGTATTTCTCCAGATAACTTTGTATTAGTGATTTCTAGTATAATTTCTCAGTGGCTCAAGATCATATTTACATAATTTCTGTTCTTGTTTATTTGTAAAGACTTTTCTTACAGCCTACAGTGTGGTCTTGTCCTGAGAATGCTTCATGTGCATTTGAAAATAATGTGAATTCAACTTTTTTAATATACTGTGTCCTTGGGTTTTGAGGGTGTAGTTATTCCAAGTGGTACTTCATTCTTCTAGCTGTAGTATTGAGCCTACTGTGTATTCCTGCCTCTTTTCATATTTCTGCACCTTTCCTTTCCCTTCTTTCCTTCCCTACCTACTATGAGTTGCCACCAGTGCCCTAAAACAACAGACTTGTTGCTTTTGCACTTAAGGATTCCATAAAGTAGGTAAGAATATGTTTCCAGGCAGAAATTTGTTTGTGGCTGCTGTTACCATCACCAAGAATATCTTATGACTGGAACTTTCTGAGGATTTTTCATAAACTTTCCTATGAGCTCTTGATTTGGGACCTGGAGAAAAATTTTGCAGGGGTGAACACATCCTTTATGTTTGGGGTGGTGGGTGTTTTATTCCTGGTGCAGCCTTGCTAGAACCACATGCAGGAAAAAGGGTTTCATTTTTGTTTGGCTTGAGTAGGGTGGGTATTGTCAAAAATTTTTTCTGCTATGCTACACCACCTTTTTCTCAGACCTTTGGCTAAAAGAACAGGCTTTTCTTGGAGCTCTTCTTATATGTGCCCATTTTTGGTTTTGGACTGCAGCCTTCTCCAGCACTCTAGCACCTCATGTAAGAAATGTGGAAAGCAGAAAGAAAAGCCATGGTATTCTGTGCCATGTCATTTATTAAGTCCCATAATCCACCTTCTTTCCATTTATAGCATCTTCATTTGTTTATTTTATTTTAATTAATTAATTATGAACCAGGGTTTTTTAATTGTAAGAGGGAAGACTGGGAATAATGGGGCTACTCCATCTTGGCCAGCATTAGAAATAATACCTGTTTTTTAAAAACAACCTGGGTGAGGAAAGAGAGAATGTCTTTGTATCTGTGTGCGTGAGTTACTAATTTTTGGAGATGGGAGACGTGACCAGAAACAGTGGAATACAATACATAACAAAATGTGGCTATAAGCTCCTCTGCATACAAAATATGAAATTAATGTTTTCAATTTTTCTCATTTTAGGATACTACAAAGTTGATGTCCACATTCAGCAGAACCAGGAAAAGCAAGAGAAACTGCTGTGGCAAGTAATATTCATTGATAACAAAACACTGAGTAAAGAAAGGCAGAAAGTTTTAGAAAAAATATTTAATCTGAACATAACTCCACAATTTTTAGGAAAAATGCCCTGTACATGTGATTCACTTGGAATGAATGTGCCAGTTGTTTCTGAATTGATTATTAGTGACAGAATTTATTCAAGAAAGAAGATTGATTATATGAATGTATGTGAAAAGATACAGCTTGATACTAAGCATGAGAAAATTCATACTGAAGAGAAGTCTTGTGAATATAACAAAAATATGAAAACTCTCAATTATAAGGAAGATCATCAGAAATTTCAAACGCTGAAGCAATCTTTTGAATCTAATGAATGTGGAAATGTTTTACTTGATAACTCAGACTGTGTTACAGCTAAGAGTTCTGTGATAAGAGAGGAATCCTGTACAGATGATGAATTTAGGAAAACCAGTGATAAAGCAACTGTATTTAACTGCACAAGAACTGGCACAAGGGAGAAATGCTTTCTTCTTCGTGAATGTGGGAAATCTTGTGACAAAACCGTTGTGAAATACGGTAAAGTTCAAATGACTAAGACACATCATGAATGTAATGAAAATGAGAATAACTGCAGCAGGAATTCACCCCTCACTAAAGCTCAGAGAACCATTACAGGACAGGAAACTTTTGCAAGCAATAAATGTGAAGAAAACTTGAGCCAGAGCTCAGCCCATATAATACCTCGGAAGACACAAACTGGTGATAAATTCTGTGTGTACAGTGGATGTACAAGTGCTTTCTATCAAAAATCAGACATTATAATGCATCAGAGAACTCACACAGAAGAGAAACTCTACCAATGTGGTAAATACGGGAAGTCCCTTCATCAAAACTCAGCTCCCAATGTATATCAGCAAAGTGACACAGGAGAGAAGTCATTTGAGTGTAATGAATGCAGGACATGCTTTTACCAGAATCCTCATCAGAGGATGCACTCAGGAGTGAAATGTTACAAATGTGAGAAATGTGGGAATTCTTTTTGTTCAGATTCATACCTTTTTTATCCTAGAACTGATACGGGTGTCAGTCTCTATGGACGCAATGAATGTGGGAAAACTTTTTGTCAGAAGTCAGACCTTGTTGAACATCTGACAGTTCACACAAAGGAGAAACCTTATGATAACAGTGGATTTGGGAAATCTTACAAGAAATCTGCCTTCATCTTACACTTGAAAACACACACAGAGATGAAACCCTTTCAAAGTATTGAATATGGGAAAACATTCTCTGAGACGGCATATCTCAAAGAACATCAGAGAACTCAAACAGGAGAGAAATGCTTTGAATGTATTGAATGTGGGAGAGCTTTCTCCAAGACATCACAACTCAGTGCACATCAGACAATTCACAGAAGCAAAAAACCCTATGGATGTATTGAATGTGGGAAGTCTTTCTCCCACAGGGCACACCTCAGTGCACATCAGAGAATTCAAACAGGAGAGAAGCCCTGTGGATGTAATGAATGTGGGAAAACTTTTGCTGATAATTCAACCCTCAGAGCACATCAGAGAATTCACACAGGCAAAAAACCCTATGAGTGTAGTGAGTGTGGTAGGTCTTTTGCCCATGTATCTGTTCTCAAAGCACATCAGAGAATTCATACAGGGGAGAAACCCTATGAATGTAATGACTGTGGTAGGTCTTTCACCCATAACTCAGCCCTCAGAGCACATCAGAGAATTCACACAGGGGAGAAACCTTATGAATGTAATGACTGTGCGAAAACTTTTGCCCATAACTCAGCCCTCAGAGTACATCAGAGAACTCACACAGGGGAGAAACCCTATGAATGCCATCAGTGTAAGAAAACTTTTGCCCATAATTCAGCCCTCAGAGCACATCAGAAAATTCATACAAGAGAGAAACTCTATGAATGTAATGAATGTGGGAAAACTTTTTCCCAAAAGACACACCTCAGTACACACCAGAGAATTCACACAGGGGAGAAACCCTATGAATGCAGTGAATGTGGGAAAACCTTCTCCCAGAAATCATACCTCAGTGGACATGAGAGAATTCATAAAGGAGAAAAGCCTTATGAATGTAGTAGATGTCAGAAAACTTTTGTCTATAAGGCAGCCCTTACAGTCCATCAAAGAATTCACACAGGAGAGAAACCCTACAAATGTAATGAATGTGGAAAAACTTTCTCCCAAAGGACACACCTTAGTGCACATCAGAGAATTCACACAGGAGAAAAACCTTATGAATGTAATGAATGTGGGAAAACTTTTGCTGATAGTTCAGCTCTCAGGGCACATCAGAGAACTCACACAGGGGAAAGACCCTATGAATGTAATGAATGTGGAAAAACTTTCTCCAAGACATCACACCTCAGAGCACATCTGAGGACTCGCACAGGGGAGAAACCCTATGAATGTAATGAATGTGGGAAAACTTTTTCTCAGAAATCTTATGTTATGGCACATCAGAGAACTCACACAGGGGAGAAACCCTATGAATGTAATATATGTGGGAAACCTTTTGCCCACAATTCAACCCTCAGAGTACATCAAAGAATTCACACAGGTGTAAAATCCTATGAATGTAATGAATGTGGGAAAACTTTTTCTCAAAAGTCACACCTCAGTGCACACCAGAGAATTCACACAGGAGAAAAACCCTATGAGTGTAATGAATGTGGAAAAGCTTTTGCCCAAAATTCAACTCTCAGAGTACATCAGAGAATTCACACAGGGGAGAAACCTTATGAATGTAGTGAGTGCAAGAAAACTTTTGTCCGTAAGGCAGCTCTTAGAGTGCATCACACCAGAATGCACACCAGAGTGAAAACTCTTGCATATAATGAATTTGGAAAGTCCTAAAGGGACTCACACCATATTGCCTAATACCACAGTGGAGAATCTCATGTCACAGAGACTGGCAAATTGTTTCCCCTAACAATTTCCTTTTCTATTAGGCACATAGTTTGTCTATATTTCCCAATCTGTACCTCACCCAACTGAGGCTGGTTATGGAATATGATGCTATTACATTTAAGCCAAGTCTGGCCTTAAAAAGTTGCCATATATTCCTCCTATTCTGCATTTCCTGGAATGGAGAGATTTCCAGGGCAGACTTTGGGGGCTTTGTTTTGAACGTGGTAGTGTACCAGATGAAAGAAGCTGGAATATGAGTAGCTGGGTAAAACAATTTTCCATTAGTAGATCTTCACCAGTGCCAGAGGTGCCATCTTCTCTTTTAAAGGTCCACCCAGCTGTAATTAAGAAAATAAAAATGAAATAACCATGGGCTCCTCAAGGTGAGGAGCAGCCACCTCCCCAGGTTGTGCACTCCATGCTCGGCCCATATGCCCAGAATGAGTTGGTGGACATGAACGTCTGGTATTGACAGAGGACATCGGAATCTCTGCCTACATGACTTTTACATCTCTGGGATGTATGGGTGGAAAACATTGTTATGTCAGGTACTGAGATGAGTAGAATGGCTTCCCTAATGACTCACCCTTCCCTCCAGCATTGGTTATAAAATGCCCGTCATGCTTCAGGGAATCAGACACACCTGGACTGGCTGACAGCTGCCATCAGGGTAGTTTGGCCTAATCAGGGTGATTTACCATATTTTCCCAGTAGTCGAAAAACATATGCAGAGCTCCAACAGGTACTGCAGGACTTGGGTCTGAAAAATATCATCTATAATATGGACTCTAGGGCCCTGGTGAGGTGTTGTTTACTGTAGGAATGAGAAACCTGGCATGGCATAAGCTCCCACATCTCTCTTTGGGTCCCTAGTGACTACTCTTGCCCCTCACCTAGGGCAACCCATAAGTGAGGCTACTCGTATTTTAGCAGATCTGGGGGAGGTTGAAACAATAAGGACACAGAGGGAAGTACAGGCCATGACTGAAAGGAGAAATACAAAGGGCTCCGTGAAGGTCTCAAGTACCCTGATATGGGTTGATTTGGTAAAGGCCTGGTTAGTGATAGAAAAACCCCATGGGCAGCCCAGTAGAATCTTGTTAGAACTGTGGCACCAATTAAAGCCAGAGCACCAGTTCCAGCCCCTGAGGTCCAGGACACGGAAACCAGAGTCGAGGCCTCATACCTGGCCTGTGTCCCTGCAAAACTTCATGGGAGACAGTACTCAGGATTCGCTTGAACCCTCACTGCCACGGGAGGATGATTGGGCATCATGGTTCAACTGGGAGGGTGGTCAAAGTCCCCACCTTGGGTGACATGGTAGGGACCAGAGGCCACGTAGAATTAGCAATTCATTGGTCCCCTGTGAATGTACAATGTGTCCTGGTGCTGGTGGACACAGGAGCTGAGTGTCCTTTGATTCATGGCAACCCTGATCATTTTACCAGGACCCCAACTTAGATACATGGCTATCAGGGTAAGACATTTAGAGAAAAGAAAGCCCAAATCTCATAGGGGTTAAGGTGTTTAACTCCCAAAGGACTATACTGTGTACATTTCTCCCATTCCTGAATATATTTTGGGGGTAGATATCCTGCAGGGTCTGTGGTTACAGACTACTACAGGTGAGTTCAGACTAAGGGTACGTGTGGTAAAGGCATTTCTGAGGGGACATGCTAAGCACCCATCTGCAGCTCTGCCTGTACCTCTGTGGGTGACAAATGCTAAGTATAAATTGCCTGGGGGCACAAGGAAATTGGAAAAACTACAGGAGTTGGAGAGGGTGGGCATGATAAAGCCCACTCATAGTCCTTTTAATTCCCCAGTGTGGCCAGAGAGAAAGCCAGATGGATCCTGGTGGGTGACTGTAGACTACAGGGAATTGAATAAAGTCACACCCCATTTGCATGCTGCTTTCCCCTCTATAGCAGACAATCTGGGCACCCTCATCCAAGAGCTGGGAACATATCATTATGTGGTAGACTAGTAGAGGTTGCTAATTAATGCTTTCTTCTCTATGGACATAGCACAGGAAAGCCAGGAACAGTTTGCCTTCACATAGGAAGGCCAGCAGTGGACATTCACTGTCCTTTCACAGTGAAAGCTCCAAAGTCCCACCATCTGTCATGGACTTGTAGCCCGAATCTTGTCCACACGGAAGAAACTGCAATGTGGTTTATCCTACATTGATGACATTATGCTCACATCTGATTCTCTTTCAGATTTAGAAGGGCAGTTCCTAAACTGTTGCAACATCTACAGGAAAAAGGATGGGCTGTGAACAGCACCAAGGTTCAGGGACCTCCTTTGTCTGTGAAATTCTTGTGGGTTTTCTGGTCGAGTAAAACTAAAGTTGTTCTTGAAGCAGTTATAGACAAGGTCCAGGCTTTCCCCACCCCACCACTGTGGCAGTATTACAAGAATTTTGGGGTCTTTGGGGCTACTGGAGAGTATCCCATACTTGGTACAAATTTTGAAGCCCTCATGCTGGTTGGTACAAAAGGGCATCAGGTGGGACTGGGATGAGACATGTGCAGCTGCTTTTACTGCTGCCAAGCAGGCAGTCAAGGCCATACAGGCCTTGAGTGTAATGGACTCATCAAGGCCCTGTGAACTAGATGTTCATGTAAATGAAGATGGCTATGGATGGAGTCTTCAGCAGCGGCTTGAACAGACATGCCAACCTAATGGATTCTGGTCACAACTATGGAAAGGAGCAGAGGCCCGGTACACCCTGATAGAGAAGCAACTGGCTGCTGTGTACCACACTGTGCTGGCTATGGAGCCCATCACCGGAATAGCTCTGACCAAGGTAATAACCATATCTCCCATCACAGGGTGGATGCGGGAGTGGACCCAAAGGCCACAGAGTGGCATGGCACAAACACATACACTGGCCAAGTGGGGCGCATATTTACAGCAGCACAGTACCCTCTTTACTAGTCCCTTAAGTGGAGAATTCCAATGTTTATTGGGGCCAGTGACCTATACCACTGGAAAGCAGGAATAACTTGCTTTTGACCCATTGGTAGCCCAGACCCCTTATGAGGAGGGAAAAGGCCCTATACCTGAAGATGGTTGACACTCAGATGCCTCTAGTGGGTGGCCCCCAAAGTGGAGGGTTGTGGCTTTCCATCCTAACACTGAGACAATATGGATTGCAGTCAGTGAGCTGAGTTGAAGACAGTATGGCTTGTGACCACCCAGGAGACTTCCCCCATAGTTGTCTGCACTAACAGCTGTGCCATCTATTGGGGCTTGACCCTGTGGCTACTGACATGGTATCATGCCAACTGGATGGTTGGTCACCAGCCCCTTTGGCGGCAAGAGTTGTGGCAAGACCTATGGGCCTCTGGTCAGACTAAGACTGTTACTTTATATCATGTGACAGGCCATTTGCCTTTGGCATCCCCAGGGAATTGTGAAGCAGACACATTGGCCCTGGTGCGCTGGCCAGAAGGAAAGCCTGCCTCTGATGTGGCCCAGTGGCTACACCAGTGTTTGTTGTACATGGGGTAAAAGAATGTGGGCTGTAGCCCATTGCTGGGGCTTGCCATTGACCTTTGAGGAAGTCAGTAGAGCCTGGAAGGAGTGCCTAAGAGGGTGCTCTAAGAGGGACTTAACACCAAGTCCCACAGCAACATAGGACAATAGTAAGGGGGCTAATACCCCTTGTCAGGTGGCAAATAGACTATATTGGACCTCTGCCCATATCAGAAGGATAACAGTATGCCATGACTTGTGTGCACACGGCTACTGGACTATTGCTTGGTTTTCCTGCATGTCGTGCAGGTCAGCAAACCACCAAGAGGGGCCTGGAGGGTCTCTGCAGCCTATGGCTGGGCAGAGGTGATTGAGAGTGATCAAGACACCCACTTTACTGGACATGTGTTACAAGAGTGGGTTCAGCAGTTAGGAATAAAGTGGAAGTTTCATGTACCATATAATCCTACCGGGACAGGCATGATAGAGAGGTACAATGATTTATTGAAATCTGGCCTGACATCAGACAGCAGTAGCGTATGGGGTTGGTCAGTTCGCGTATGGACAGTGCTGCGGCGTTTGAATGAGAAGCCACATAAAGGAGCTTTGAGCCCTGTGGATATACTCACACACCTTGCTGCCTCTCCTATACAATTGTACATCCAAACCAAAGAAGTTATTGAAACCAAGATATGGCCAGGGGAGCAACATCCTGCTGCAGCCTCTACTGCATTAAGCTCTAGAGACACTGTTGAATGGACCTGACCCTGGATATTTTGACACATGGAGCAGTGATGGCTGGCCCTTCTGGCACCTTGGGGGAAGAGTCTGGAAGCTGTCCTCCCATGTATTCCTGGAATAATAGCTGAATGGCCCCCAAAGGTCACAGTAGTGTACCTGAAATGTCCAGGAGGTAAGAGCATCTTGCAGGGAAGTTTTATCTTTATGCCCAGTGCATGTACCTCCCATAGCCCTATATATTGACCCTTATGTAACTCCCACAGGGAGGGGGGTGAAAGTCTGGTATACTAGACCAGGATGAGATCCCACTCCTGCCACTGTTTTAACACAAGACCACTGTCTTGCATGTATCCTACCTGATAGACAATATTTGCCTATGCTGGTGTCATTAAAACATATATTATCACCCTTAAGGTTATTTTCTCTGACAGTTCTTGTGGCCTGGATATGCTCTCTGGCTGCATCTGCCACATGACAATTGCTCTGAACTGCCTACCTATGAAATGGACTAGCTATGGATTTAATCTGCATAAGAGTTTGAACCTTGCTGAATCCTCTGGCTTGAGGATTATCATGATTTTATTGCTGTCACTATTGATATGTCATTAGTCTGGTCACAGTCCTCCTGTTTTCTTGCCCAGGGACTATTGCAAAAAAATGGGAATGAGTAGATTGTAAGGCAAGATTTCTGGAGGGGTGGCCTGTAGGTAAAATTGTAATATTTCCAGAATATCTCTCCTAGCTTTGATGCATTTGCATTTCCTCAGGGGTGGAGAGAAGTTCATCTCCATGTCATTGGGTAATTACCTGAGCAGTGTAGGGCATGTCTGAACCTGAGAGACTAAGGGGAGGGGCTTGCTTGCTTCCTTGCTGCTTCTGGAGCAGGGGAGAGAGACGGCACAGGACTGCAGTTTGTAAGCAATTAACAGATTTTAAACTTTATTTCTCCCTTTGGCTGATTTCAGTTTTCCGAAGTATTTTCACCCTGAGAATTCCTTTCCTCGGATTTACACCAAGTTACAGAAATCCTTTTCTGTCAGCATCACCCACACAACTATCACAAACTGTTAGTATATAAAGTGCTCTGAAGAATGAAGAGCTTCTCTGCCACCAGTACCTCACACTGGGAAACTGTCTCTTCTGCATCACTTCCTGTCGAGGGAAATGTACGTACAGCTTCTTTCACAGAGAGTCGGTAAAGGACGGGAGGCTTGCCCATGTGTTCACACCCAGCAGTGATGACCTCCCGGTGGTTGGACAGTCTCCATACCAAGGAGAGAATTCTCATCCGCTGGCAGTGGGCCTTCCCAGGCTCAGGCTGAGGGGAGCAGACGGTGTGGGGCTGCACTTCCACCACCCTGCCATCTTTGACCATCCTACCACTGCTTCAGAAAGTCTAATGGTCTCCAATACACCTTTGGAATTCAGTGCAATTGCTTTATGTGTAACATTTTTTGAAAGTCTGTTTTCATTGAACAGTAGGGTGGGCGCAACATTGCTGTGATCTCTTTGCAAGCACTAAAAATATCTAATTATTATGTGAGAAAGTAGTAAACCATAGTCTTTAAAAACTAGACTATCTCCACTCTGTATGTAGGTGAATGGAGGAAGATTTACTAATGCCTCTACTATTGCATAGAAAATATGGACACCCTAGAAAATCAATCTTTTTTTATTATACTACCAGACCCTGTATGTATCTGTAACTCTTCACTGAGCAATACATCAGATCAGAAAAAAACGGACCATCTTTGGTGAGGTTCAGAAACAAAAAAGCTTTGGGGAGAAAGTTGTGATTCTTAGTGTCTAGAGGGGCAAACCCATATTCAGAGGTGATCTCTAGGGATAGAGCCCCCAAGGCATTCCTGCACAAGTCAGTGTCCACCAGGATTCCTTCCTTTTTTCAGAAGATGTGAGTCACTGTAAGAAACAAACAACATGGAACCAAGCCAGAGGAGGCAGGGATGGAAAGGGTAAGACCTGTAACTCCGGGGAGAGGAAATCCTGGGGCAAAATACATCTTAAGACTGAAATAAGTCAAAGGGAGGAAAAAAGTTTAAAACCCATTTATTGTTTACAAACTTCAGTCCAGCATGTATCTCTCCCCTGCTCCAGAACAAGCAACCAAGCCACTCCCTTTAACCTCAGGTACAGACACGCCCTCATTGACATGGAGATGAACTTCTCTCCACCCCTGAGGTTATGCAAATGCATCAAAGCCACGTGAGATATTCTGGAAATGTTAACAGTTTTACCCACACACCAAGTCCTACAGCTATAGTTTGTGCCCGGGTTCAGCTGTGGCTGACACCTGTGCTTGGTCTTTTCCGTATATATCCAAAAGAATACTGGCTCTGTTCACCAAGTGTTTGTCTGAAAACTTAGACCTTTATATGGTGACTGGCTATTTTAATTTTTCAGTAATATAAATTTCAGTT